GATCATTCAAACAGGGAATAAGCGCCAACTGCTTCCATACCAGAAGCTGCTTCTTTATAATTTGCAGAACAATTATATTATGCTTTACATATGTCGTGCTGAAGATTGCATGCCATTCTGTTTTATGGGAACTGAGCATATTTCTGCACAGCACTACTGCTTTACGCACACCTTACTATGTCTTATATGTTTCCTCTGAGTGTAATATTTGCATTTATGTGCTCTACGTGTTTCCATACGTATTCTATGTGTCATGATATGTATTTTCGTGTGTGTTTCTATGTCTTTATGTTACGTAATTACGAGTGTGTTTTTATGCTTTTACCTTTAATTTTGTATATCTATGTGTTTCAGCTTATATGAGTGTTTTAAAGTGTTTTAATGCTATCCTTTATATTCTTTCTAAGTTACTTTGTGTTATTAACAACGTCCTATGTAAAAACTACCCGACATCTAGCCCCTGTATGGCCATGTAAACTCCTGGTGCAGCCTCACGGGGCTCCAGCGAGTTGCTTCTTCGAGATAGTGGAGGACGTGGGACATATGTCTGTTTACCTATGTTATACGTCAGGCGTCCCCGTCCTCCGTCACCTGTCACCTGCCATTCTGTTTATTTTGTTGCAAATGAAACAAAAATGTGACGTAGCTTTCAAATCAAGCACTTTGTCAACGCTAATCGACAAAGCAGCAACACATACATTCAACGTCGAATACCCTCAGCGCCAAACTAAATACGAAATTAAGGGGAAAAACTAACACCAGATTCTTAAAATGTATTACAAAATATCTAAACTTAGTACGCAGGTTTATAATTTACAAAATCTTGATGATAAATAAAGTTTCTAAATAGGTATGTTTATTTAAACGCTCACTTCCGGCCCAGAATATTGGAATTTCCGGTTTATTCAGTTACAGAAAAATGCTTATAACTTCAGTTCTAATTAACCTATCAACAAACAAAAACTTGTATTTGATAGCTAAAGATGTATTCTTTAAGATAATGTAATAAAGTAAAAATCGAAATTTTGACTCAAAATCGTCTTTTGTACGAGGTCGGATACCTTAAGCGATTGAAGGAAATGGGAAGGCAGTTAAATAATATGCCGGAGATGTTATTTAACACAACAGTAAGAGAAAATTGCCTTCATCAGACAGTGAATCACATATATAATTTTGTTGATCCTTCTACATTGGCATACACTTAAACATTCAACGGTTATAGAGCTAGTCAGAGTAACAAAACAAACAACGTGGTACTGCTAAACATCACTAAGACTCATAAGTAGGAAAACCAAACAACAGGGTACTGCTAAACATCACGTAGATGCATTAGTAGCGGAGTTTATCTGGCGAGGAAGCTTAGAAGAAGAATATACTTTCGATGCTATTACGAAGGCAGTATTGCATTTCCAACCGGAAACAATGTTTTGTAAAAGACGCTTTGTAGCATTAATAGATCTTAACACCTAGGAAAAAGTTATAAGTTTTATTTATTTGTCTTCCTTTTATTTCTATTTACTCATATTATTTATGTTTTTATGCGCAAACTATAAGTCTAAATGTTTAAATATACAAGATATCAAAAGGGATGTTTACTTTGTCGCCAAAAATGTTGCCATGGAAAATTGACAAAAGATACAGGGGTTGGACAAAAATATGGAAACACCTTAAAAAAAACATGTTTCTTTGCTTAATATGGTGTAGGAAACCCGTTGGTATCCAAAACAGCTTGCAGTCTTCTCGGAATGGATAAATACAGTTTCTGTATGTTTGCCAAGGGAATATTATGCCATTCTTCTTGCAAAACGGTGGCAAGTTCAGATAACGATGTTGGCGGTGGATAACGAGAACGCACTTTCCGTTCCAATGTAGACTACAAAGGTTCGATAATATTCAGGTCTGGTGACTGTGGTGGGCAGGGGAGATGGGACAACTCATCCTCGTGCTCAGAAAACCAGTTCTGGACAATGTGAGCTGTGTGAACAGAGGCTTTGTCGTCTTGGAAGACACCATCACCATCGAGGAACAAAGTTTGTACCATGGGTTGAACTTGATCGGCCAAAATGTTTGCATAAGTCTTGGCAGTCATGTGCCCTGACACAGTTATCATGGGACTAGCAGAAAACCACGATATGGCTGCCCAAACCATAACAGAACCCCCGCCATGTTTCACTCTTGGCAACAAGCAGTCTGTATTATAGGCTTGAGATGGCGTTCTCCAGACGTAAACTCGGCCAGAAGTGGGAAAACAATGTGAAAGAAGACTCGTCAGACCATATTACTCGCTTCCACTGCTCTATAGTCCAGGCTTTATGACTTAAACACCACCTTTTCCTGTTACGGGCATTAGCATCACTGATGAGTGGCTTCTCAATTGCAGCACGGCCAGCAATTCCCTGTTTATGAAGCTCCCTTCTAATTGTTTTGGTACTCACAGGGTTCGGTAACACAACATTCATTTCAGCAGTAACTTTTGCAGCTGTGGTCTTCTTATTTTTCGTCACAATTGCCCTTAATGATCGTCTGTCACGATCACTCAGGACACACTTTCGTCCGCGCTGTGATTTAGCAGATGATGTTTTTCCGCTTTTCAAATATGCGGAATAAATCTTCGATACAGTACCTCTTGAAACACTAAACACCTCGGCTACCTTGCTTACGGAAGCACCTACCATACGTGCTCCAACAATTTGCCCACGTTCGAAGTCTGTTAACTCTGACATAATGCAATGACAACCTCACATAACAGTACTCCGACAACAACTGAACTTTTTAGCACATTTACGAAGTTGTATAGGTGGCGTCAGTAGTCAAAAACGCCAGCGACACTTACATATTTCATTAAAATCAATCTTTCTTTTCAAACATGCATTTCACAAGGTGTTTCCATATTTTTGTCCATCCACTGTAAATTATTGTTGTAATTTATCTCACCTGTCTGACAGTAACATCAGAACAAGTCAACGAATTTTATCTTGACGATAAATGGGGAATTGCATCTGTCGTTGGCCATGGGGGTTGGACCCACCTTTATAGATAACAGTGCCACTTTGCTCAGTTTCATCTCAATTTTGAAGAAGAATCCTTCTGGGATGGGTTCAATAGTCACCCACCCCTCATTTATTATCACCAAACAAATCGAAAGGATTTTAGGTATTTGTGTGTTTTAAGCAATTATGTGTCATAACGCAAAAGACACTATTAAACATCCATATCTTCTCCGGGATTCGAGCTCGAATCCAACGATACGGCAGTCACAAATGCTAACCACGACATCAGTCATGATGACATAATCCCTAATTACCAAATACATGTTTAGGTACTCGGGTAAGACTGTCATTTAACACTTACAAGTAGTAAGCGGCAAATTTCAAATATCTTTCAAAATATTTTTTAGAGTTCAAACTTTAATGTACGATTTACCGATGTGAACTAGTAAGTGCCAATTCAAGCCATTTTTAATTCTGTACCACTTGTGAGTCTTTCATACATGTAATTTTAATTACATGTATTAAGTTATTTACTTTGTTTCTTATTTGCTTATTTATTTTGCTATTATTTGCATTTAAGTTATTTATTTTGCTTTCAGTTTGTCAAAGTGATTGAATTACCGTAATTTCCGGAAGAAACGCCGCGGCGTTTACGTGTTTAAAACTTAAATTTTCAGCGGGTGCGGCGTTTCTACCCATGCAGAGTTTAGGTGCACTAAATATAAAATATTTCCTATGATGGTCACTTGTACATGGTTTGGATGGCCTTGTCATTGTGCATAGACTGGTGCTGTTCCCAACAAAGACCACTCAGTTGCTTTTTGCGAACTTTATTTTGTTTACATTCTTTCCCTTGAACGGACCTACATTGTGCCTTATTGAACCCTAAATGGGATCTCAGAACAGTAACATTCTTCCCTCTTTCAAATCAGCATTCTCATTAGTTTGAATAGGCTCTCTTCTCTGCCATTCGATGAATCTTCCAGGACCCACCCTCTCCCTATCCCTGCCTTTTTCATTGTAAATGTACTGCAATTTTTTTCAAAGGCGGACACGACTCCACTGCCTTGCAATAACGAATTCTGACGTATTTCCCCCTTCAGCACGAATGGAATTTTTCTTGGCATTCTGCCAGATACAGATCCCATCAGCTTGGGTACAAGTACTTGTTGATAGTTTTTAAGTAAGAAGGGAGCGGAAAATTTTGAAATGTCTCTAAACGGCACAGAAGCTATACATTTCTTACCTTTAATTTATTTTTGAGTTATGGTTTCATTTCATGCATTTTTCTTAACTGGTTTGTCATATATCAGGACTTAGTTGAGTTTTTGCATCTATACGGCCCACGACGATGTCATGCGCAATTTAATCTATTGCGGCGTTTCTGTGTAATTTAAATTTTTTTCCCGCCATTTTTCTCGAGTGCGGCGTTTCCGCTGATGCGGCCTTTTTCCCGGAAATTACGGTATTTAGATTATGGTCAAGCACATTAGCGTTCTCGGCCTGCGGAAAGAGATACGTTCGTAGTGGAATTTTTAAAAGAAACTCACGTTACACATCGGGAAACCACGGAAAACTCCACGCAATCAGCCCTTTCATTGAATACCAGTATTCAGCGGTCTTACCCGTTCGGGACGCTGGTGGTCTCTTTAAGATAAGCGACATACATGCAAAAAATATTTTATGAATTTTCCCATAAAGTAAATAATAGAAAAGGCCGGTTTTTATTTAACTAAAAAAATTATTAATCTTTTGAGCGATGTGATAGATGCAGTTCTATCTATTATTCAGAGAGTATCAGTCATTGCATATAAGAAAATATTTGCAAGAAATTATTTATGTATTCTGAAAGACGATCATATTATTCATAACACTTTAGCCATTAAATAAATATGACCGAATTACAGTTCATTTGCTCCGATACTGGCTTGCGTTTAGCAAAAATGATAAGATAACGAAATTCGTAACGATAATTTCTTTGGGTGAAACAGTCATAAATAAACGATAAGGGAAAAACAGTAGAAGTAAAATCACACATTCTTAGATAATCATATACTCTAATCAGATGCTGTCGGAAAAAAGAACGACAATTTTTACCATAAGAAGCGGCGATTTTATTTTGTTTTCCCGAGGTATGTAATTTTTTTCACTTAATAAAATTTATAATAATATATTAATCTTGAAATTTAATATAAATTCGATTAAAAAAGTAACAGGAGACGTTCTTTCTTTAATTCATAAAATTATGAAAATAGTTATACACATTTCTATATATACTAACGATTTCTACGTTATACAAATAAATTTAATCTGCAGAGAATTTACAAGATTTGAGAGTTCCAAGATGTACCTTGTTACTACTTTTAAATAGCTTATGAGTAATAGAAATAAATTAAGGAGTTTGTGCAAAGATGAAACCATAAAGGATGGTCGTATTGGAATAGAGAAAACAATACAAACATGCATACGTATGTGAAGCACATATCAAGTGTTACGTCTACGTCTGTAAGACACTTTTTAAGAATACGATCTTGAGATGTAAAGAAAATTCCCCTTAAAATTTCTTTGATGAGAAATTTCAATATTCATTGATAGATGGTTTAAGTCTTTTTTCTGTATCTTGTTGATACCACAGCTTTGATAGTACACACATAAAATATTAATTTCCGATGTTCGTTTTTTTTTTTTTTTTCCCTTCTTGAAAATTTTATCGTATATTTGAACCACTATCAGTATCATGTGGAATCAATTTCATTCGTTTCCGACAGTTCGTTCACGGTGTTGCCTTTTTCACAAACATTAGTACAGCATCAAAATATTTTAGATTTTTACTTCCTTGTACGAAGTAAAAAGGAAGTATTGTAATCTCGAAAAGTTTCAGGCAGCATATTTCAACGAAAATATCCATTTTGACCGCTATCGAATGCAATTTAACGATATTTTTGCTTGATATCTGTACGTAAGGACAGAATAAAAGACTCGTTTCCTCCAAAAAAATTATAAAACTGCTTTAAAATTAATTCTGAAGAGAATTTTTCGTGGCGTCTGTACAAACGTAAGTACGTACGTACGTACGTATCTCTCATAACTCAAAAACGAGTAGCCTCAGAACGTTGAAATTTTGTATATAGAACTGCTATAACATGTAGATGAGCACCTCGTATTTTGGTTGTAACGATTACAACCAAAATCGTGTAACGTATATAAATATATTTATATATATATCCACTCTGTTACCCGCCTCAGTGATCTCAGTTTCTTTACTCTTATATGTTTATAAATTGTACATTTTTTGCTTTAAAAATCATTGAATTATGTTGTTTTTATCTTCCGGTTAAGGTTTTTATGCCTTTAGTAAATCTGTATGCAATATGTTTAGAATTATCAACAATTTTAAAGTTGTTTAAGTGCCGCTAAGCGTGTTTTTTTTTTTTTTTTTTTTTTTTTTTTTTTTTTTTATGGCGGCCATTGATTTTTTACATTTGAAACAGCAGACTAGTGGATTTGTTGCCAATCTAGAGAAACTTAGCTTCGCAACAACAAAGATAACGCATTCATTTATAGCCAATTAAATCATGCTTAATCCTTTCTGGAATTTTTTTGAGGAAATAAGTGTTTACGATTTACTTCGTAATTTTTAATATAGATATTTTGAGTTTTTATGTATTTTTGCCTTCTTGCGAAGTGAGAACTGAATTAATTGAATGAGAAATACTCAATCGTCTGTGAAAAACTGTTTCTTTTTTGGTATGTTTGCTTAATTTCTTTTATACATCATTCTAGCTTTATTATACTATTTGAATAGAACATGTGGCAACGATTAGATAATTCTATTCTTTAAATGATATAAATTTTGTGCATTAGGAGTTGTAATATGGACGAAATATAATACTGTTAAGTGAATCTAGCGCCAGAGTGTCGCTATGGTAAAAAAATACTAGAGCGAATTTTAAAGAATGCATTTATTCTATTGTGGTTTATGCGCTGTCGGCGAAGTAGATTTAATTCAATCCAATAAGTTTAAATGAAATGCAAGAAAAAATGCGTATAATTTAATATTCCGTACAAGGAAGTTGTGTGGTGTACACATCAGATTTTTATATTCTATAGCGATCAAGATTTGATATGACGTTGTAACGAGAGTTCACCATAATTCAAAGTGATTAAAGAATTAAAGCAGAAAACATTTAATAAATAATTAACGGCTATGATAGAATAAAAATCATGTTGACAAAGAATAAAATCAGTATCTCAACTAGAACGTGTCCATCATTTTTGGAAATCAGAATTAAGTTTAAAGAAAGGATAAGTCGCACATCCTTTAACTGATGATTTAAAAAAGAAATACGGATATTCTCTCACTGACAGTTTAATTTTCTTTTATTTCGCTGTTGAGCTGTTACGCCTCATATCATATGGAAACTTTTTTATTGTTGTTTATGTTGCTTGCATTTTTGAAAATGGTAAGGGCCAACTGTACGCTACGCGGGCATACTACTGCCGATGAGCTCCTTTTCTGTGGGTCAAAACAGAGTATGAAAATATTTTTATTATTGAATATGCATTTTTAATGCAATTATATTTTCATGCATGTTATGATAAAGTATACATTACTCTGACAAACAACATTCTGATAGGAACTGCATTTTGACTGAAATATCATAACAGGGATCATACATCTGTGAGATGTTTTAAAAGTCAAAAACCAAATAATAGATACGACAGCTTAAATTTATTATTTCTTTTGTTTTTTTATTGCATTTACTTAAAACGTCGATGAATTTATCTCAATTAAACTTCAAAATGTTAATGTTTTCATACGTGTTGTTATCCGTCCGCTGTTAAATTAATTCAAAATTTTATTTCTTGTAATTAAAAGATAATAGTGGGTAATTTAATTTTTTAGAGGTAACTTCTAAAACGCAAAAGCTCATTTTAAAAATAATTCCAAAATTTGTATCCATCATACCAGCAGCGGTGAAGTAAGGATTGGAACTACCTATTCATTGGTTGTATATTAATCAAAGTTTATAAAAATTTCACTGGAATGCATAACTGAAACTTGGTATTTAAAATATTGACCACTTCTTAAAAACTGTGCCTCTCTTCCAAAAAGTCGTAAGTTATTTATGACTAAGTTTTGGTCAAACTAAGACTGAAAAAACAACACCCATGATTAAAAATGTCAGTGCACTAAGAATTGCATAAAACAGCTAACAATTAATAAAATTAAAAACTCAAGAAATATTTATATTAAAACACATTTTTTCGTTGTTCTTCCCATATACATAGCGATCGGCTTTAATCTTCTTTTTTAAAAATCTTCTTTTTTAAAAAATTGTCAGAAAATTGTACAAATTTGACATCGCACACAAATTTCGATCCATAATATTCAATAGTTTAAGAGGCTCAACTTTTATGAAATGCAAATTTTTGTATTCTGTGTTGCTGAACAAATTGCCATATTTCTTCAGAAATGCAATGCTTCTTTTTTCATTTGCGGCAAACTCCACAGTTCTTATACAGTAAGACCCCGCTTAACGCGGGGGATACGTTCCATCAAAGTAGAGCGTAATGCGAAACAGCGCTAAACGAGGCTATCTTTACACGTAAATATTGGGGTTAGGGGAAGATGGCTAGGAAATTGGTTAGGTATTAAATTTAAAAAAGTATGTTTTTTTAATAAAAATAAAACCAAACATTTATTTCTTAAAGCCCAAATTAATACCACATTATTATTTCTTGCAAAAATAAAACAATATTTAAATAACAAAAAACGAATATTCTTAAAAAAAACAAATAAAATTCGAAGTCAGTCCATATTTAGTTAGCCTTCCGCGTTTTCAGTGTTCTGTCTGCCTTTTTGTGACAAAAACATCTAATGTTGTTTGCCTTTTTCTTTTGCGTTGTTCTCTTAAAAGTTCTTCACAAACGGATAGAGCATCTCTAACCACACGCCTTACTTTTGAGCTCCTGTCAAATTCGGATCCTTTTTCAATGAATTGATCCATTATTTCAGTTATGGTAGACAAACTCCTTTTTACAAACGCCATCGAAAGTTCTTTTTGCTCTTCTTCTGAATCACTGCTGTCAACATTTTTGTTTTCTTCTTCTTGTTCAGTTAATTCCTTGAGTTCATCATTAGAAAGACTAGCCGCTGCTTCTTGAATTATTTCTTCGACATCTTCCACATTTACCCCTTCAAAATATGTCTGTACAATACCGCACCAAACAAGAAATACAAGTACACTCTTTCGGATATGTATTTGAAACCTATCGCTGAATAATATTTCGGGGAATCCCCGTATGCTGCGAGCGATTTCGTGGAATCCCCGGGTTCAAATAAAAGCGCGCTAAACCGAAACAGCGCTAAACGAAACAGCGTTAAGCGGGGTCTTACTGTACTGTTCCTCGCAAGAAAAAAAGTGTACTCGAAAACAACAAAAACATACCTAATAAAAAAAGTGGCCGTCGAAATCTGAAGGCGAAAATCAGCTCTTGTATTCCTGTACGGGGGCATATCTGAGTTGACATAAAAATACGGTACTTTTCCGTTTTGCCGGCGCAAGCGATAAAGTCGCCAATAATGGTACAACTTATGCCAAACGGAATATTTTCGCTGGTAACCTTTTACGCTTCATTTTCAAAACAAGTCGCAGCCATTTCTTATCAGATTGATTGTTCCTTTCAATACTGGCATACAATTACGTAGATTTTTTGCAAAAGACAGTTATATTTTATACCCTAAGACCATTCGCGGTAATTAGGATGCAATCACACCGCTCACCCGAAGGCGAAAATATAGGAAAGGCAAAATTAAAGGTTAAAATCATCAATTCTAATGAGAATGCACTAGTGAAGTAAAGCACTGAGGCTTACATAATTTCTGAGTAAGTTATTCGTACGAATTGAAATAATTCTTGCATTTAAGCTTGTATTCCAAATTAAGATTTAACTTGAAATTAATTTAGATAATTACTGATAGAATTACATTTTTGTAGCGTAGTTTACGTGAGATGAGATCATTTTGGGTCACGTGATACGAACCAGTGAATCAGGATGTTGAACCATGAAAGCATAGTAAATTCTTAAATTAATGTCTTTTTACAAATTTGTTGCCTTTATTAATTTGGCTTTTTACAAAATTTTAAATCTTATTAATATGTTTATGCCTTCAAAATAAAAAATTCTTAGAACTAAAATTTTTATGTGTATAATGTATGCTGTCGCCAACAAAGTCTGCTTGGCGACACTTTCGATTTGCGCCAGCGAAACGGAAAAATACCAAAAATACACTTTGGTGACGTCATGGGTTGCCTATTTTGATAGCACTGTGGGTTGTGTGGTAAATACTTTTTAAGTGGGAAATGTGCATAATCAGAAGGAACCAAATATTCTTAAAATTTTGTAGGGTTAATCTTCAGATTATGGTAAATTGGCGATTTTTTGGCGAAAATTTGGCGACCAACAAAATACAGAAACCTGCTAGTTTTTTGGGGGGGGGGGAGACGCCATTTTGTTTTCACGAAGTAAAGGCTTTTTTTTTTTTTTTTTTTTTTTTTTTTTTTTCCAACTATCTGCTAGCCGAATTACGCTTATTAGAACTTTTATGGAACAAAAGTGCTTAACCATGACGAAGTGACGAAGATTAGGTGCGAAATTGGGAGAAAGTGCAGAATCGCCCACTGCTTGCCGCGTTTTTAAGAATTGCACATACACGGTATCCATGTACACGTCGACCTATTTTCAATTAAAAAAACATCTCATAATTGCACAAAAATGGCATTGCGCACACTCTTGACTTTATCCATGTACACTGCTAAAGTCCTAGCTAGTAACCTTTATCGCCTTACCAAAATGTCGCCAAATTGCCTGTTACCATATTCCAAAGATTAACTTTTGTAGATTCCAACTTGTTAACGTTATTAATATTACCTATTTTATTCAGCATTAAAGTGCCCACACATATATAAATCTCAATTAATATAGAAGCAAAATACTATATTTTCGCACTTTTGGAACTAAAGAAACGCTAAGTAATTTTTTTTACAGAAAAAAATGAGAAAGATGCAGAAGTATAATGTATTCAGAAGCATACTATCAAAAAACAGGTATTTGGATATCTTCGAGAAAAATGTCAAAAACAGGACCACTTCCACAATCACTGCAAACGTTGGAACTCGCAAGGATTCTTTGTGGGAAACAGCGAAACCTTTTGAGGATATTCCACATCTTACTATGCTCCCTATCATAGGAACTGCCTGGGTTTTTTTACCCATCATAGGTAAGTAATTCTCTATGCAATTCTATTAAATAAGCCAAATTTTAAGGAAAATATTATTAGAGTTCAGCTTGGCAGAGAAACAGACTTTTTAAAATCAAAATCAAAACACAATCTTTACATCCACTATTCGGGCTTCCAGGTCCACATGTTTGGGTGGAAGGTTACGTTATTAAAAGTTTTATGGCTTAGGTACCGCCGTTTTTTCCCAATGAGAGGAAGATACATACATTCATATAAGCACATTCTTCATTATTTAATTTCTTTGAAAATAATACAGGGTGACAATGCAGTGTGTGGCAGGGAAACTTTTAAAATGAATAACACAAATAGTATAAGCGATATCAGTTACATTTTTTTCCGAGTTACAGAGAGACACTTAAATTTTTTTTTATTACGGTTTAAAAATAATATCATTAAAGTAGCCTCCGTTCTTGTCAATGCATTGAGATAGTCGAGTTTTGAAGTTTCTTTCCACTTTTACCAGCATATCAACAGGTATGTTGTCTATAGCAGCTTGAATATTGTTCTTCAGTTGAGCCAGGATATTTGGACTTTAGAGATTTCAGATAGCCCCATAAAAAGAAATCACACGGTGCTAAATCAGGCGAGGGCGCTGGCCACTGACAATCGCCTCGTAAGGAGATAAGACGTCCAGGGAAATGTTCTCCAAACATCATGGTCCAATGATGCTTATTCTGGACAATGCACACCAAACAGTCACACGTTCTGTTTGGAGGGGCTGCTCATGAAATTCTCGGGGATTCGTACCACTCCATTATCGCATATTTTGCTTAATGCATGCTTCCCCCCGGGGGTCGACGTAGAGTACACTGCGCAGTACTGGCTAGGATCTGTACCTAGGCAGTCTCGGCCACGGGGGTATAATATTTCGAGCTTGGCTGTTCCCGAAGGCCCATAGAGTAAGTTTATACTTGCTCTTCATGGGTTGGGTGGTGTAAGTCCCTTCCACCAGAGTATTGGTAGCCAAATAGCAAACTGGACCATTGAAAGTCTGGTCACTGCTGTCCTTGATATTCCACGCAAAGCCTAAGGAGAGGGGCATCCCGTGTAGTACTGGTGGGTAGCATTTTCAACGACCGGTCAAAGCGCCAAGTTTATAAGTCCACCCCATCGTGGTCTCTGATCGCTGGGACGGTGGTCTTGGTTGACCAGTGTAGCGATGGGCCAGTTTTTCTGGTGGAGATCGATTTTGAAGCTGTTGTCCTGGTGATGTGGGCACCGGGACCTCAGTTGGAGTGTTTGACCTTCTCGAAGGTGGCTTATTGTTGGTTGCCCGCCCCGTGACTGATATCGGGGGTTCTCAGCTGGGCTAAATCCAGTCGTGTAATGTCATTTAGTTGACGAGGCACGTATAAATTTAGTTAGTTAGTTAATGCATGCTGCAATCGGAAAGATGAAAATGAGCCTCACCGCTAAAGGACACAAGGGCATCATGAGGTGTATTGTCAAGAACGGTATGCATTTTTTCGTGAAAGAAAATCGCTTGGACTAAGTTTTTGCACCACTGCCAATTTATATGAATGAAAATGCAGTACGTTAAAAAGTACGACTCCACGGAGAATGCACGCTCCTCTCTCGTCTACTGCACGATCGGTACGAAACCAACATGACATAAAACTTTAGATACCACTCTTTTCAATGAGCGACACCCCACATTTCTCGGAATAAATGTCGCTAGATGGCGCGCGTTTAGTTTCCCTGCCGCACCCTGTATTTAGTGGCAACAATTTGAAATGTGAAACGTCGTTTGTAGTGAACCGATTCAAAATCTTATTTCGAGACTAATATCCCCTTTTGAGCAAAAAATCATACTCCTTGCCTCATCTTATCTTTAACTGATATTACCTTATTACTAACCAGTTATAATTTATTTTTTGCATTCTGTGTTTCTCAGTTTGTAACTAACTTTAAATTTTAAAAAAATATGCATTTATCTTTCATGGTCTCCTTAATCGTTTAAGTACAACGAATTATTACGTGAGATATGAAATTTCAATGTAACTATTTTTTATTTATTAGGCCGGTATAAAATGGATAAACTTCATTTAGCTGCACGCCATAAACGACAGCTGCTTGGTGATATTATAAGAGAAAAGTTTGGACATTTGAATATGGTAGCATCTTTCAACCCTGATGATATGGAAACTGTTTTTAGAAATGAAGGTCCTTATCCAAATAGAAGCGAATTTTCCACTATGAAAGCATACAGAGAATCTAGGAAAGAATGGTACAAGACAACTGGTATCATGGTCTTGTAAGTTTGTTTTCTTGCAACGGGTTGTAATTTTAATGTCATTTTGACGCTGATTCGTAATTTTAAGAATATAGAGAAAACCTTTTCTTCTGTTGAATCTGAATGCCCACCAGGTATCGAGGTATAAACTCTTATATTTATTTTCTTTTAAGATATTGCGAGTACCAAGGTACAATGCTTAGCAGTACTGCCAGGTCACCGCAGACGAATCCAATCGAAGGTTTTATACTTTTAACCATATCTTCTTCAGAACGTTTTACCATTTTACAATGATTAGAGCTGTTTTTAAAGGGTGACTAGGATTTTAGGAGACCTAGTCGCCAAATCCTGGGTGAGGAGAATCATCATCCCACACCCTTTTTAGTTCGAGCGCCACTGTAGAGACATTAGAAGTTTTTTTTTTTTTTTTTTTTTTTTTTTTTTTTTTTTTTGAAAGCAAGAGAGGTGGAAAATATGCAATCGCCTTCGCCCGGAATCGAACCACAGACCTCTGAAATACCGGCTCATTGTGCTGACCACTACACCACGAAGGCACGCTAGGGAAGCTGGAGAAATACCTTATACAATGATTTATTATTTTAATCTGCAAGTTTCGGCGTACCAAAGTATGGATCGAATTAATTCAACTTTTCCTCATGAAGCATCTTCTGAAGCAACAGTTTGCAAATGGTCTGAAAAATTCCGTCATGGAGTGGAAATGTACAAGAGTATTAGGTTTCTTACAATTTAACTTAAACAGATGCTCGGAAGAAAGGGCACTAAAAATTCTCGAAAGATTCAATTCTATGTACTACAAAAGCTGTGTTTAACGTCATAGTATGTGGCGAAGTGGGATTTCATTCCAGAAAAGACAACAGTTTAGGTGTTTCAAAATGAAATAAGTCTTATAAAATTAGTTCGTGCACGGAGTACTTGAAAGAAAATTATTGATAAAATTTGTGGTAGATCCTTCTATGTTGGATTTGATATTTCAGGGTATCCTAGAACAATAAACACTTACTGGTATATCTCAATAATTTCGTCAGAAATAGTAGCTGAGGTCAGAGAGTAATATGATTGAACCATTCTGAATCAGGATAATAACTCATATTGTATTGCAAGCTATCAATAATTCCAAACATAGAAGAGTTAATTTAATGAGTCATTTTCCTTATTTCCCTGATTTAGCATCTAATGTTTTTAATGGATTTTTTTACTGTTTCCAACAATCAAATGTAAATTGCATTATCACCAATTTAACAGCTCAAAAGAAGCAGTTGAAATTTATAAATCACATGTTTCTGCAACACAAATTTCTGAACAACACTGTAATACTAATGGTAACTACTGTAATGGTTTTTTTCGACAGAAAAATTGCATTGGTCCTGAAGATAAATAATTTGAAAAAGAATAAAATGATTTAATGCAATGCAAAAATCATTTTGTGCATTATTTTCTAAATTTGAAAATATTAGTGAAAGCATGTAATGTTCCATAAATGACATTACCATTAGCTCAAAGGAACCGATAATGAAAGCTAAAATTCGATAATGTAAATCTGATGAAGAATTGAACGAAAATAAATGCAATAATTTGACTTATAAAAATTCAAGCATTTTTCCCTTGCGGTCTTTGCAACACTAAGTAAAATTATCAGCAAAAGTTGTTGAAATTTTCAATGATAAGTTTCAGAAACATTTATATGGTTCTACTTGCAACATCAAATCCAAATATATTTTTGCATATTTAGTAAATTAAGACATTTTTAATTTAACAGCTTACCTGTAATTAGAATCTATCAAGCTTCTTTAAGTTGACCTCTAAATTTAAACAAAAGTGCATTAATACTTTGTTCATGAAACATCCGAGTATTTGCTTGTAAAAATGTCATTGTGTTGAAGAATTGTAAATAAGTCAAAATTATTTTATTTTCTTCTTTTTTTCTTTCTTCCTGAAAAATGATTATTTGGTCATTCAGAAACATTGTTCCGAGTGAAATATATTTCTCAGTCATCATCAGATTTCTTGACGGCGCTTAGAGTTTGCTGCGGTTGTAATAAAATATTGTATAGATGTAAGTTTTGTAATAAATAAGAAAAATTCATTTTCAGGCAAGGCAATGAATGGCATGATTTGCGTTCCAAAACTCAGAAACATCTTTTGAAACCAAAGGCTATTCAGGCATATTTAGGAGCAATGCAAGATGTGGCAAGAGATTTCGTTCAAAAGATATATGAAACTAGAGATTCTAATAAAGAAGTTCCTAATCTTCTTGGAGAACTATACAAATGGGCACTAGAATGTAAGCATATTATCCGTCATTATCTCTAACTGTATTCTTCTTCCTGTATATTTTTGTATATATGTGTAATTTTCGGGTATTTTTCTGATTTGGTGACAATTGATTGATGTATTTTATATATTTATTGAGATTTTTGGATTTAACTGGTATTGAATTTCATTTCTTTTATGTCTTTAAGAGAAATGGATAAGAAAAAATATTTCAAGAAAATTGAAATAAGGTGTTACGTAAAGGTTTGGGTGCCATTTAATAAGGTCAGAGTATTGCCATGTTTCTGAGTTACACGATAAAAAAAGTAAAAAAAATTAAATGTTGTATTTAAAATAATGAAATCTCATAACAATTTATAGAAAGTAGCTATTGTTCATCAAAACGTAATAAATCCCTGCATGGTAAGAAACATAACAAGCACATCGCGCAGATTTGACTTAAAAGCTTAATGCAAATTCATTACAGGATACCAGCAAAGAAGTTCATGAAAGAAAAATGCCATTCAAAAAACGTGATCAACAAAAATCAGGAAAATAACAAGCAAAACAACCAAAAACATGGATATAAATATATAATGTTAAGATTTCCTTAAGAGAGTGTAATAATAGTTAGAAAAGAAGTAACAAAAGTCATTGGGTTTTGAATAATTCGAAAGAGACCGCAAAAAATTAATTGCTACTTTGTATTATAAATATGTAGATATATAGATGTATGTGAGATTAAAAATATGAAAATAAAATTATGTTTAAATTAACTACAGCCCCTCTCTGTTCTAAAAATAGTAATAATTATTTCTGGACTGCGCCATTCCTAGATCAGTCCATATCATATGATGCTATACAATCAGTATTTCTACATTATCGTTACTTCTAAGTATGTTTCATTATTACATATATGTGTATATTAATATATTCCGCCTCTTCGAAGATCAAGTAGATAAGCACTGTAACTAAGTCTTTGATTTTAACTCTTAATTTATAAGTATTTAACGCTTTAAGTCTTAGTGGGTTATATACGTCCCAGTAGACGTTCTTTACGTGTAGCTTTTCCCTTAGAAAGTTTTCCAGGAAGGCATCCGTTCCCTTAGGTACATAGCCCTCGTATGCTTTGTCGTAATCATATAAATTAACCAAACCGGAGTTTATCCAAACAGTTGCATTTTAACTCTTCTAATATCTTTTAAAATTTCAGTTGATAAAATATCAAATTAGAACTAGTGGTTTCCAACTCTTAATTTATTAGTATTTAACGCTTTCAGTCACAGTGGGTTATATACGTCCCAGTAGATGTTTAAAGAAGCCTAGAGGGAATTACACGCATGTGAGACAGTTCTGAAAATCTTCTCTGAAAACTGTTGCGCGCATCTTCTTATAGAGGCTTTGTGAATTTGTTTATTATAAGGCGAACGTGTGCTACTTCTTTAAGTGCTACGTCTTTACGTTTAAACAAATAAATTGGGACTGAAAGTGTTAAAATACGGATTACATTATTAGAATCACTTTGAGACTTAATACGATGTACTTATGCTGTTCCCTTCTTCAGTACTTTAGAGAAGTTAAAATATATGTTAAATTAATAGAAAGATTAATTTTTTAAAATTAATTTAACAAATATTTTTATTTTTAACAGCCGTTGCTTTCGTTGGCTTGGATACGAGGCTTGGTTGCTTGAAAACCAATCTACCGCCGGATTCAGACGGTATGAAAATGATCAGATCTGTTCAGACGCAGTTCGAATGCATGAACAAATTAGAAGCGTTTTCAGGGAATATTCAGTTTTGGAAGTATTTTCCAACACCAACGTGGAAGAAATTTACCCGGGAATGCGATATCTTCACAGAGTAAGTCTACTCAATTTGAACTAAAAAAATTCATATTTTGATGAATTGTGTAAAATAATAATCCACATCTTGATGTATTATTTTTATATTTGTTTATTTTTAAAGACCTTACGCCAATGAACAAACAGCCCGTCAAGTTCACCAAACTATTAAAATCCTACAAACAATTTTTTTAAATAATTACCAGCTAATATAAAAAAACCTTATCCATAAAACTAAATAACTATTTCATAAAAAAGGGACATTTTTCATTCTAAAAGAACATCTTTTTACTTCCTTGTACGAAGTAAAAAGGAAGTATGGTAATTGCGAAAAACTTCAGGCATCATATTTGAACGAAAATATCCATTTTGACCGCTATCGAATGCAATTTAACGATGTTTTTGCGTGATATCTGTACGTAAGGACAGAATAAAAGACTCTATCCTCCCAAAAAAATTATAAAACTGATTAAAAACGAATTCTGAAGAGAAATTTTCGTTGGGTCTATGCACACGTACGTATCTCGCATAACTCAAAAACGACCAGCCTCAGAACGTTGAAATTTTGTAAACATGTAGACTCGTATTTTGGTTGCAACCGGCCGCACTGAAAGTATATGTACGTATATACCACTCTGTTATTCGGCTCATAACTCTCAGTTTCTTTATTCTTATATGTTTGTAAATTGTGCATTTTTTGGTTTAAAAATGATTGAATTATGTTGTTCTGGTTAAGATTTTTATGCTTTAGATAACCTGCTTGTAATATTTGTGAAATTATCAACAATTTAAAAAACATTTTAACTGCGGCTAAGCCTAATTTTTGATTGCCATGGCTGGCATGTTTGTTTACATTTGAAACTTACAGAGTATTAGATTTGTTGCCAATCTAGGAAAACTAAACTTTGCAATAACAAAATAACGTTTTCTTTTATTATTGCGAATTAAATTATGCTTAATTCATTCTGGAATTATCATTTAAATTATTAGCTTGTTTTTGCGTTCAAACTGTAATTTTAATTGTAAAAATTGTTTTTTTAATTGTTTTCACTGTACTTGGTGTTTTATTTTTTTTCTATGTCTTTCAAATTTAAATGAAAATGTATTGAATTTTATGTATTTTTGCCTTGCCTTGAAGTGAATTAATTAGTAGCACATGCGCATTAGGTAAGCGGAGCTGAATCGCCTGCAAAAAAAAACTGTTTCTTTTTTATTTGTTTAATTTCTGTTATATATCGTTTTAGATTTATTATAGTATTTGAATAAAACTTGTGGTAATTTTTCAGATGATATGATTTTTGTGCACTCTGAGATATAAAATTAATGAGATGTAATACTGTTAAGTAAATCTAGCGCTGAAGTGTTGCTATGGTAAATAAATATAGTGAACTTTAAAGAATGCATTTATTCTATTGTGGTTTACGCGCTATCCACGAAGTAAATTTAATTCAAAATTCGTTAACTGTTAATTCAATATGTTTAAATGAAATGCAGGAAAATTGCGTATAATTTAATATTCCGTACAAGTCATGCGGTGTACACATCAGATTTTTTTCTTAGTGGAAAGAAAACTCTTATAAAATAATAAGGCTGTCAGTTCTGTGCGCAGAAAGATAATACATAAATAGATCACAAGCTAGCATTAAATTTAATGAATAAAAACTCCTACCACCTAGAAAAGTAAATTTTCTATGAGTACTTTAGGTTGAAAAATATGTTAATTCTTGTAGCTGTAAAATAGTGAAACATGCAGAAAATTTTATTTAATTTAAAATTTAAATAATCTAATGTAGACGCCACATAATTTCATTGTACGGCCTAATAAATTATGCACAGTTTTTCCTGTAATGCATTTAAACTTATTTCCTCGAATTTATTAGAGATGTATTTTTGAGCCAATCAATTCAGTTCTCATTCGCGGCAAAGTAAAAATATATAAAAACTCAAAACACCTTTATTAAAATTTGTATTATAAAGAAAAAAAAACCTAAAACACCAAACAGAGATTATACACAGTTAAAAAAAGAACAGTTTTTCCAATTAAAATTAAATTTTCTAAGCAAAAAATAAGCATCTCGGCCAACGGGCAGAAAGATAAAATTCTCGGTGAACAAAAATTTTAACTTCACTTTTAATCACACTGAGTAAAAAGACGCTGAAGTTGGTGCACCAGCTGACTTTATTCATTCATTCATTAGCAAGAGCTTCAAAGATAAATAAAGAGCCACCACGTTAGGTCTAGAGCCATCTACACTTTTCAATTTTTCATAATTCTAAAACTATTGCGTGCAGTCTTATTAAAGACATAAAAACCATAACCAGAACGTAAGAACAACATAATTCAATCACTTTTAAAGCAAAAAATTCACAATTTACGAACGTATAAGAATAAATAAACAGGGCTCACTGAGCCGTATAAGAGGGAAGATGTATATATATATATATATATATATATATATATATATATATTTGGTGCGGCCGATTTTCTACAAAAAAAGGGAGGTGCACAACTATAGGTTATTGCAGTCCCGTGTACAAAATTTCAACTTTCTACGGCTAATTATTTTTTAGTTATGCGAGATACATACATATGTACATACAGGCATACAGAAAAAAAATCTCTGAATCCATTGTGATTCGGTTTTACAACCCGTTTTAGAAAAAACATTGCTTTGTTCTGTCCGTACATACAAATGTCACGGAAAAAGTTTTTCAACTGGATTCGAGAGTAGTCAAAATGAATATTTTCGTTGAAATATGGATACCCGAAATTTTTTTCCGATTACAATACTTCCTTTATTTTGTACAAGGAAGTAAAAAGAGATACCTAACGTAATATAGCATTAAGGATGAGCATTTGAGTTTTTTTAGTGCTTCTGGCACATCGTGAAAGTAACTGAAGCTCCACCTGCGAGCAAATAATCTCCTTATTTTGGGGAGCAATCATTTAACTGCGAACTATTATCCTTCTACCTATCAAAAACTATCTTGAAAACCATGTAATCTTAAAACTTCGGGGAAGTACTAGCTCATAAATTGAAATTAGCTTAGAGAACTGTATTTCTGATGTAAATCAAAAGATCTTTGATGGAAATTTTTACTTTATTCATTAACATCTTTTCAGAATCGCTTTCAAATACATATATCGAGCTTTAGAAGAATTGAAAAAAAAAGAAGGAAACGAAGATGAAGAATTAACTTTACTTCAAGGCATGCTTTCCACAGAAGGACTAGATGCCTCAGGTGCAATGGTGACAGTTGCAGACATGCTTATGGCCGGGATTGATACGGTATGAGTATTAAAGTGAACATAATTTTAAAATAATGTATCAGAAATTTTCTTTTAAAATCCTGAAAAACGTGTAATGGATTTTTATATCTTCCATCCAAATGTTGAGTGAAATATATGAAATACTTTTTATTAGTTCACCAAATATTTTAATACAGATTTCATGCGTTTGAAACATATTTCTTCCTCTGAAGGATGTGTTATTTGACTCGTTATAAGTATACTCTGTTGCAACAAAATGTATGCACTCATAAAATCATGAGCTACAGCCTGAAAAAGAGGTGTCTAACGTCTTGAAGAGTTATGCAAATAATTAGAATATTAATCCCAATAATAACATTCGGCTAATTCAGTAGGCGTGAGAAAAGCTCATAATAAGCAATTAAAAAGACCGATTTTTCTCACGCACGAGTTATTTGTAGAGACAATTAGAATGGTTTCGAAGCCAGGAAATGTGAAAACTGGGCAATGCTGTCTCTGAGATTCGGACTCTGGATCTTCTGATTGCTACCTGAATGTGCTTTCTAGTTACGCCACGAAAGCACGAGGTAAGGCGGAAGAAAAACTTTGCATTTTCTCCCACTTAAAGGGATACTGGGGAGGCCGACACCCAGTCGCCAACCCTGGAGATGACGAATTATCGTCCCCTAACTTTTAGCTCGTTCGCCACTTGTAAAGATAGTTAATTTTTTTTTTTTTTTTTTTTTTTTAAAGCCAGAAAACGTGAGAAATGTGCAGTGCCCTTGCTGCGATTCGAACTGTTCATATTCTTGATTGCTAGCCAGAAGCGCTTTCCAGTTACACCCCCGAAGGCATGCGATAAGGAGGGAGAAAAAGATTAGAATTTTAATTGGATTTCCCTCTTTGACTACTACAAAATGCGTATAAAGAGGCTTTTGAAATCTTTTCAATAACATTACAAATCACTGTCTGATTTAGAGAAAGGTAACATAAACCTAAACAAAGGAAGTTGGTCCAACAGATGTATCAGCCGTCATATTAGTAATATTGAAATGCTGCAACCTTGATTCGATAACAGTCGATGAGAAAAGGAGTTCTAGCAAACGTTAAGTAAGCCACAGGCACACAAGTGTTGAAGGGGAAACAAGTATAATTAGAAGAACATCTTTCTGACAGCACCAACTGGTATCGCAACCATCTATTTGAAAGCATTCGCCTTCTATGAATCTTGTGTAACAGTGCTCTCAGACAGTGGTCTTATTACATGCAGGCCGAATACACGTTCTGAAATCAACTAACGAGCAGGATTTCTTATTTTTAACCAAAATGAAAAGTTTTTTTCAAACAGTTTTGATAAAATTTTAAGAATGTTAGCGACAATAACTAAGTTTTTTCAAACAACTAACTGCTAACTAAAATTTAAATTTGATTTGCAAAATATTTATTAAAACACACATACGTATATGGTAATAATAATAATAATAATAATGACTCAAATAAAAAATTTCAGTTTTTGTTATTTTTCTGTCTAAAACCTAAAGGCGATCTTGCGAGAAATTTTTGTTTGTTTTTTTTTTCGTAATTCAAACTTATGCTCTGATGCTGTGAAAGATTTATTTTCTGGAACACAGTTAGATAAAGTCGCTGGACTTTTCAGTAGACTCTTTAAAAAGATGAATTCGCAATAGAAAAAATTACAACTTGCATTGTACTTTATTGATATGCTAGAAAATCCGTAACTCTCTTTTCAGGTTTTCCAGAACAATAAATGGACTAACTCTTTATATTTTGCCCCCCCCCTTTCTTGAATTTCATTACGTGCAGTTTTTAGATTATCTAATTTTCTACTTTCAGCACCTAGAGTATCTTTATTTTATTCAAAAAGCTAATTTGATACACTAGCTAAGCACGGCTTGATAATTAAAGACATCTACCAGAAATTCTAAAGATGCGCTCTTTGATTGACGTGAAATATTTCAAAAAGAATTATAACGATATACAAATGGCCGTGGTCTATGTTCAAGATAAAGTTAGATTCGCAATACCGAACCTTAGTACCGGTCATGTACTCGATGCTATTTTTCGGACTTTGGAATGCGACGAAGAATGTAAAACGGTTGCGGCCGGATATTTCAATATCCATCTGGATTCTTCGGAAGGAAGGCCAATTCACCAAAGATCTTCAATACATAAATCTCGAGTTGCAGACAAATCCCAAACACTTTACTGCAAGAGGATATACGAGGATCGATGGAATCTTTTCAAATCAAAGCATGAGAACGGATGTGTATATGAGCGTATATACTAACCATTTTCCGTTATGTTGAAGAATAGATAGTTAACATTCATCAATAAAACTTTAAAGGTGGTAGTAAAGAAACCATGTGATTGATACCACCTCTACTGGTAGTCAGTAATCTATAATAAAAAAAAATATCGCCCCTCTGGTCGTAACAACTGCAAATTTAAAACAAAATCATTTCAGTTGTTTTAAATTACTATTTTTCTTATAGACATCACATTCTGTGGGTTTTCTTCTGTACAATTTGGCTAAAAATCCAGATAAACAGCAAATTTTATATGAAGAAATTTCCAAATTGCTTCCATCGAAGAATCTCAGAATTACTCCAAAAGTTTTCAGCGAATTGAAATACTTGAAATCGTGCATGAAAGAATCACAAAGGTAAGTAGTCATTTCGTTTCTGCTAAAATCTGGAAGATTTGATATGCTAATGAGTTTAATTATAGCGTTGTATTATGAACATCTAGCAGTTAATAGTAATGAAGAGCAATAAACTATGTATTTAAAAGTTGTTGTGAACTCAGCTGCAATATTTTAATCTTTTATAGATAAAACTGGTGCCTAAGAAATAAACCTTTCCCTTCACGAAAGGTTGAAAAGTTTATATAAATTGAAATTGGTGTTTATATTATGAAAAAAAAGTGTTAAAATTTAAATCATTGTAATTATTTGGCAATTCCTTGTTTATTTTACTTATTAAAACTTCTCTTAGTAAAAACTTTATAACTTTTTTTTTATTATTATGTGCACAAAGGAAAAAAATTGTAAATGAGAGTTTTAGAACAGAAAAAGCTTACACTTAATTACTTAGCGGGGTAAATTAACAAAATGATATAAAAATGAGGTTTTGTAATTACGAAAGTTGATGCATAAAAGATTGCGACGCATACAGAAGGATATTAAGTAAAAATACAGAATCTTTTAAAAACGTTTTCAGTGGCTTTGACAATGAGAATGAGCATTTAAATTTTCATTTGGATCCTTTTAGAACACACCCAATTGTTGGAGGTTCAGCTCGACAGTTAGAGCGAGATGTGATACTGTCTGGATATAAAGTTCCTGCAGGGGTAAGCTGCTATAACTTTTATATTAGCAATTTTTCAAGTGAGAATTCTAAAATCTGCACCCAATGTACATAAAATAGGTTTAGTAGTGTTTTAAAGACTCTTCTTTAATGCGTAAGAGAAATTTGTATTATAAAAGTAAATTCATTTCGAATTAAAGCCCAAAATTTGTATTATATGTGGCTAGAAATGGATTCAGTAGCATGCCAAATTCTACACAATGTTTATATTTTTTAATTAAATTGATGCATTATTTTATTTAGCATTTCTAAAGGCTATTTAAGAGTTATGCTTTCTTTAAAAGTCTCATACCTTCGAAATGATGAGAGTAATTCTTGTTTTCTTACTTTGAAATTCATTAATAATAATAATTATAGTTTAAGCTTCAAGTTTTCTTATATTATTCCTTGTTGCTGTTACGAATCTCACTTGCCTGACAATGGTCAATACAAGGCCATACAAGTCAAGGTCAGTACAATTCAAGGTCGCAGTGAGTTAATACGTCTGTTTTGAGCAAGAGCCTTGAGCACCATACGGTGGCAACTCGACTAAGTTCTGCCCCAGTTTTAAAAGGCAGCATTGTTTTTGGAGGGGGGCAAGTCAGAAGGTCTCACACCCCTCTTTCCCTACCACAACTTCTCGATAGGATTTTTCGAGCTCGTCGCACATTTAGAGTGCTCCCATGCCGCACAGACATGATATATTTACAAATATCCATGCCTTCTCCGGGATTTGAACAAGGGCACTTCGGTTCCAGCAGTCAGAGTCACTAACCACTAACCTGGGTGGCACATTTGATGCTTTAATATCTGTAAAACTTGACAAATAGAGAAGAAAGATTTGCCATAGTGAGATAAAAATGCCTTTTCCTCTCTCCTCTTTTCTTTTAGAACTCGGTTAGAGAAAACATTTTTGAAAAAGAAAATTGAATTTTCATTGAAATGAGTTAAAACAGATACTATAATAAGCTCACATATGAATAATTTTGTTAAATAGACAGAAGGAACTCGGTGAACTATTTATCGTTTTTACTGCAAAATTTCGGCAATAATAAGCTGTTGTTCTTTATGCTGGCAAATGTGTACTATTCGGATAAATAGTAACCGTTTAGTTCAGAGAAACCTCTTTCCATACGATTTCGTGCCACCGCATGATGGCATGCTGTTTAGAAGACGTAGTTTTTCATTTACTCGTCTACGGGTATTCAAATCGGAAATCTTCAAATGTAAATACAGGATTCCCTGATGAACTCATGAATTCATTCTTGAAATTACAGCAATATTATTACAGATATGCGGACCTCTTAAGACCTCAGGCAAGCATTCATAGGTTGATATTAATCTAAACTAAACTCGTCGGCACAAACAGTCCTTAGAGAGCCATGGCCGGCACAGTATCCTGATATCTGCTTTCTAGACCGTAGGCTCCGTGGTGCTTGTGCATCTTAGCCTGGACAAGTGGTCAGCTTGTCGCAGAGGACTCCCAGTGTTTAGTCCCCAAGCGAACTCGGTACCCATTTTATCGACCCACTCAAGGGATGAAATTCTGAGTCAACCTTACCCAGCCCAGGGATCGAATCCTGGGCCAAAGAATATGTATTGTATGTACATAGACGTTCTTTGCCCGGATCTGTGGTGTTGCTGCGCGACGCGCTAGCCACTGCGCCACGTGGCTTCTGTGTTGCTATTATTAAAACAAAATGGCGTATTTCAACCATTGCATGAACGTAATGCGCATATTACGTTGTAAAGTTATTAGTTTATTTTGACGCAGGAAAATGACAAATGTGCGATGCCTTCGCCTGGATGTGAATTTTGAACCTCCTTAATACGTGTAGAGAGTGCTGACAATTACACTACGAAGGCATGCAGAAAGGAGGAAGAAAATAACGATCTGCATTGATAAACAATTACTCAACAACATAGTGGTAATAAACATTTTTATATGTATTAAGTATAACAAATAGTACACAAAGTCCCTTTTATTTGTCTAATAAAGTGTATTCAGTATTCCTGTCTCTTTTTCTCCTCTTTTCATTTCATATTAGAATTTTTTACCGCGGGAATTTGTATTTTGCTGTCATTGTAAAATGGGCTACATTAAAGAGAAATATTTACAACTTTTACTGTTTTATCAATATACCACAACTTCATTTGTGAAACAGAAAAAAATTGCTGCCTGAATTTGAAAACATGCCCTCATCTGAGAAAATTTAGGCTATCTCAGCACTTCATAGAATCTCATCTTGGAATTTGTAGGACGTACTGTAAAGGCATTTCAAAATTATGCAAGTTAATTTTTCCTGTTGATGATTTAGAGGTATTAAAAATACATTATAACGATGGTATCCTGTAAAACATAAAATAAATAGTTTTTTGACAGGACTAACTTGTTGAGTTCAAAGAACAACGCTTTGTTTTTTTTTCCCTTTTTTGCAGACCCTTATTGCAGTCGTTCACCAAGAAATCTGCAGAGATGAAAAGTGTTTCAAAAATCCTGAAAAGTTTCTACCTGAACGATGGTTAGAAAAAGAAGACAAGCATCATCCATACGCCTTCCTACCTTTTGGTTTTGGTACACGCAGCTGTATTGGTAGGAGACTCGCAGAACTGGAAATTATAAGTCTCATGACAGAGGTAAAATGACTTTTATGCTAAATTCTTATTCATAAATGAATGCCATTTTCTTAACCTTTATATAACTGTGTTTTTTTATTTTGAAATAAGATCACTGATCTTTTTCAAAGAATCTGAGACGGACACCACGTGGCTTCCTTATATAGCCTACTAAATTATGCATATTTTTTGTTGCACTTCATTTCAACTTATATTCTCGAATTTTTCTAACTTAATAAATTGAGTCTTCAAGGCAAGTTGAAAATGACATCAATAATTAAAAACATTCAAATTAAATAACCCGGTTTTTGTAATACAGGATTCAAACTTCTCGTATTGCATTAAAAGTTATATTTCGTTAGCTGTCAAAAATGACTTTTTTTATTTGAAGTTGCAAAACATGAATATTTTTCGCCATTTAAAACACTTCTGTAATTGGAAGTGCACCTATTGCGAAAATAAATGTTGGGTAAGGAATTTTCAGTTAGTTAAGAGGGTGATATATATATATATATATATATTTAGTTAGAGTTGTTGTGTGTGTGATTACGGCAAAGCCTCGAGGGCTATGTGCCTAAGGGGAGAAATGCCTTCGTGGAGGACTTTCTAAGGGAAACTAGCTCGTATACACGTTACACATGGGGAAAACCACGAAAACGTCCATGCAGCCAGCCCGTTCGCGAGATTCAAACCTCGGACCGAACTACCAGTGTTCAGCGACTTTACCGCTCGGCCGCTGAGCTGTTTAGTTAGAGGGATAGATAGGTAGATAGATATAGATACAGATATAGCTATGTTTCGTACTGCCGATTGCTAGATTCAAAGAGTTGCAATATAAAAATTTAAATCGGATTTTTTTATGATGTCCAGCTCAAATCCAATTTTCGGCCATTTAAACAATAAGTGGAAAGGTTATAACGTTGCGCGCCTCCAACTTGCACGCAACCAAGAGGTGACTGTGAAAACTTGTATAAAAGATAGAGTCTTGTGAAGGGTTTAAGTCCCTTTTTATTCAACGTAATAAATTACAATTGCGTCCTCTTGACGCTTACAGACTGTGCCAACTTGGCAGTCAAATAAAAATAATAACCTGAAAAGAAAGTAAAGACAAGATTCTAACTACGAGGCTCTCTAAAATAACTAACTCACCTCACCGCGTTTTACAATACCGCTGCTAATTCAGCAGACTTGAAGCTCACTGGAACGATTACCACTACTTCCCGCCAAGCACATAGGCCGCAACGCGGGGTTCTTCAATTCTCGCTAACTACCTCCGCGCTCGCTAAGTAAGAATATCACACACCGAACTCGTTTCCTTCTATTTAAATCAGAATACTTCCGCTGATAATTTGAATCCTTGCGCGTTCTACTCAAATTTACATATTCTGGCATTGGCAGTTCCAGGGGAAAGTAAGGCTTGACAGGAAAGATAGTTTAAACTTAAAATAAATGTTAGTTAAAATAAATATAAACCCTACATTTGCCGCTGCCAGAATTTGGAAAACTTGGAAGCAGGTCCTACAAACGACCTGTTGTAAGTTTCTCTAATTCTGAACTAACTGGCGAGAACCTCGTTTACACAAAAAAAAAAAAATCTTATGTAACAATTATACTAAAATTCTGTTGCTCGTTACAAAGCTTTCTTCTTACAGCAACTTTTCCTGGACTTCATCAATCAATCTTGGTCTTTCCTTCCAGCATCTGGAAGGAATAAGTATCAGTATCTTTCTACATACATTATAATTTACACTTTCTTGACACAATAAATTTTTGTTTTTAAACGATTCGTTTTTCTTAGTTATTGCTTACTTCACATTCATTCAATTTTTCAAGCATTAATTTAACTTTACCCTGGCTCTCCACCGTGTGTGTGGTGTCAAACGGGAATATTCGTGTTTTAGTCTTACAACACTTCCCCTAACCACCATGATTTGTTAGAATTCAACGACCAAATAGACACACCTTACTCGACATTCTACAACTCAATGAGCTACTTTAATATTCTTAAAAATTCAAATGTAGGTGGAGAACCCTACAAAACACATTCATTCTAACTTCCCCCTCATTCATCTTTAAACATGCAGGCTTTCGCTCTAAAGCATGACTTTACAGTTTTAATACTTAAATTTTGACTTCATTGCTTTTAAGCATTCACTTTTAGCATCTACAATTTTATGCTTCTAGACTAAATTCTACTTTTACATAACATTCAAGTATTTACATACATTTACAAAATTTTAATACATATGCTTTTTACAATTTACCATAAAATGAATAAGAGAAAATAAATTTTTACTTTACTCATTCTTCGCCAAGCTGGCGGCACTGAAACTAAAATTCTTATTAATACAAGAATACGAAGTTATTTTTATCTTCGGCCAAATTTTGGCTTTAACATAACAGAATTAGTCTTTCGACCAACAGAAAATGCTTGTTTTTAGCTTTTACACTTAAAGAAAATAATACTTTTGCCTTAGCTAAATAAAGTAAAACAAAACTAAGTCTCAACCGAGACATATTGACTTTCGTCAAAACATAGAACTTCGTACTTATGCATAACATTTCGGAACAAAAGAGAAAAAAAAATTTATAGAAGGTTTTAACTTATCTTTGAGTTTTCGATGCTTGAAACTCCGTCATCCGTTTTTGGCAAAATTGATCCCAAGTTAGAGGTTTCATGGATGTCAATCTTCTCCTTATTGATCTCCGAGTGTCGTCCACGTTGCTTTTTCTTTTGCGTCCTCTACATGCTGGCCTCTTGACGGAGTAATCGTCTGGTTGTTGGCCCTTCCGCTTCTCCCTGGGACGGCCGGTCCTGACGTCCTCCGGTCTGGAGTCCTTCTTGAATTTCTTCTGTTCCTCGTATTTTTGTGCCTCCTGTTGGCGTTTCAGTTTCCGGAACGGCGGCCTTGCTGGCACCTGACTCTGTGGCCGTGTGCGCGTTCTCCTTGATGTGTAATTTCTCCTGCCATCCTTTGTAGGTGGTGTTTTTTCTCTTTACCACGGTTTCTTTACCCGGTTCATCTGTATTTTTGTTTTTCTTAAACGCCGGAGTTTGAAAATTATTTTTTCTTTTTGATACCGACGTCCGGGTTGTAGAAGTGCTAGGTCTCTCTTCAGTTCTCTGTTTCTTGGGTGGTGGAATAGTTGTTGTAGTCTCTGGCCCTTCTATTTCGTTTAGACTTGAGTCCTGCAAGAAACTTTTAAGGATTTCAAAATCATTTGGATTATAGTATTTTTTCACCTGGTCGGGACTTGCTTTACAGATTTCCCCTCTCTCGTTCTTAAGATATAAGACTACTCCTTTGATTTCCTGAATTACATAGGGGCCTTCAAACTTTGGAGCTAGCTTTGCCATAAAATTGTCTGGGGCACTTGATAAAGAAAATTTCCGCTTCAATACTTTATCCCCAACTTTAAAATCTGCTTCACGGCGTTTTCTATCATAATATAGTTTTCTGCCTATTTCTTGCCGTATCCGAGGTTTTAAGCGCCTGATCAATCAACTTTTGCACATCTTTTTGTTTAAACTCCTGCTCTCTTTGTTGCACAAAGAATAATTTATCTAAAGGCGTAATTAACTTTCTGCCTAAAAATAATTCTGCTGGAGTTTTTCCCGTAGTATCATGATGTGCCGTTCTTAAAGCATAAGCTAATTCATTTATGTAGCCATCCCAGCGCTTGTGATGTGTGCTCACGTAACTGCGAATTATTTTTACTATGTTTTTTATTAACTCTTTCTGCTATGTTAGCCTGTGGTCTATACGGAACCATTTTGATATGGCGTATGCCAAGTCCATTGCATATGTTTTCAAATATTTGACTAATGAATTGTTTTCCGTTATCGCTAATGACTTTTATCGGTGCACCGTATTTTAAAATGTATCTGTGTAAGAATGCATCTGCGACTGTTTTGGCTGACGCGCGTTTAAGTGGAACAATTTCTATCCATTTTGAAAAATGATCTACTATTACTAAAAGAAAACGATTTTTATTTAACTCGCTCTGGGGGAAGGGACCAAGGAGATCTATGCCTAAAATTTCATTCGGAAATGTAGCGCGAATGCTATTTAAGTACCCGGCCGGGCTGTAATTAATATCATTTATTAACTGACATTGATTGCAGGACCTGACATACGCCGTTACTATTTTGTATAATTGCGGGAAATATACCGCCTCGCGTACCCTTTTTATAGTCTTTCTGACCCCGAGGTGGCCCGCTGTTTTTTTTTTTCGTGCAACTCCTTCAAAATGCTTAATCGAAGCGAGGCTGGGATGACTGGCTTATACTCAAGATTTTCGTTTGTTGTTTTCGTATAGAATAATAAATTATCTATTATTTCATAGTTTTTTGCTCTATTTCTTATCGCATCGATATCTGTATGCTCAAAGCTTTCGGGGTCTTTCAAATAAGCATAGATATTTCCAAATTCAGGATCAGCTTTCAGTTCAGTAATAACCGTATCTCTAGAATCTAAAATTTTTGAAGTCAACACACAGCGCATTTAAGTTCATTTCCTTCATCGTCCAGTTTTATACGAGAAAGTGCGTCAGCTACATTGTTTTCCTTACCCGGTTTATATTTTATTGTGATATTATATTCTTGGAGTTTTAAAGCCCATCTTATTAACCTGGGCGTTAGGTTTTTTCCCGAGTAAAGTCTACCAACAGCCGCATGATCCGAAAAGACTGTTACTGGCGATTTGCCGAAATAAACTCGAAATTTGTGTACAGCCATTAATACGGCTAATGTTTCTCTTTCTGTAGCTGTATAATTCCTTTGTGTCTGATTCAATGTTTTACTAAAAAATGCCAGCGGATGGTTATTTTGCATAAGAACCGCACCCCACCGCATAGTCTGACGCATCTGCTGCAATTTCCAGGTTTTCGTCCCCCTCAGGGAATTTTAAAACAGGGGCATTAATAAGCGCTTCTTTTAATCTTTCAAAAGCTGTGTTAGCTTCCGCTGTCCACGTAAATTTACTCTTTTTTCTTTTGATTACTAAGAGTGGTTCAACAAT